AGGAAGAGGAAGGGAGGGGGAGGAAGAGGAGGGGAGAGGAAGAGGAGGAGTGGGAGGAAGAGGGGAGGGAGGAAGGGGGAGGAGGAAGAGGGAGGGGGAGGAGGAGGAGGGGAGAGAGGAAAAGGAGGGGAGGAAGGGGAGGAGGAGGGGCAGGAGGAAGGGAGAGAGGAAGGGAGGGGGAGAAGAAGGTGGAGGGGAGGGAGGGAGGAAGAGGAGGAAGAAGTAAAAGAGGAGGGATCCCTCAATGGACACTTAAGAGGAGCCTCCATTCTCAGGAGCAGTCTATCTTGTGGGGGGGGCAGGAGAGTGCAGATCCTGCCCCATAGGCAGCGCTGGCCACGAAAGCAGGAGGGCAGGACCCAGATGCCTCCAAGCGGCAGCTGGCATCAAATGTGGGGGGAGAGGGCACCCCGGGCGTCCTTCGTGCCCACCGGTCGGGGCGGGGCAGGCGTCCAAGAGTGCCTCTGAGCATACCTGGCAGTAGTGCTGCCTCTGCAGGAGGGCCCCCTCGGCCCCCCCGGCCCGCAGCTTGAAGAGGTGCAGCTCGGCGGAGAGGACCTCCTCGTTCTTGGCCACGCTGGAGAGCAGGAAGAGCAGCTGCGTCTGGTCGCTGTGGGCTGGAAGAGAGGGCAGGCCGTTGGCACCGGGCAGCCCACCACGGCCCTGCCAGGTAGGCCGGGCGGAGGGGGAATTGGGCAGAGGCCCTGCCCTGGCCCCCTTCCTGCTGGCAAGGCGTTTTGCTTTGGGTCTGGCTCTCCCTAACTGATCAAATTCACTACATTCATCACCTCCATCAACATTTCTCCACCTTGGGAACTTGAAGATGGGTGGACGTCAACTCCCAGAATCCCCCAGCCAGCTTTGCTGGCTGGGGAATTCTGGGAGTTGAAGTCCACCCATCTTCAAGTTCCCAAGGTTGAAACACAGGGCTGTAAGTGAATAATTTTCCATTTTAAAACATCAAAGCTGATCCTAGCCCAAATTTTCCCACCTTTAGGGTGTTTTACAGAGCCCCCCCACCCCAAAAGACCACCCCCAGCCTTGAGAAGCGAAAAAAGACAAGTGGGGAAAAAAATCTTCAACTAATATCCACCACTCAGGAGGGGGAAATTAAAAAAAAGTATACAAACTTCCTGCCGTTCTTTGGGAAGGGAGAATCGATGAAGGTACAACGGAGAGGGGAAAGCAAATCCCTTCTTTTCAAGGTTTACATTTTCAGCCCTCAAACTTTGCTTATTCTCAGGGGCTTTGATTAGAGATTGGGGGGGTGGGTGGAGGGGTGGACACACCTGTCAGCAAACATGGGGAGGGGGTGAGAAAACCAGAGGGCAATTTTAAGGCAGAAAGGGGGGGGGCAGGAGAAGGGCAGTTGGAGCCAGGGAAATCCATGAGGACTACAATCATGCTGTGCTTTTTAGAAAGGCCCTCGGGCACAGGGAAAGGACGGTGCTTGGTCTCCGAGGGGCTCGGCTGCAGCCCCCTCCCCATATCCAAAGCATCTCACATTGGAAGGAGAATTTGCTGCCCAGACCTACACACAAACACAGACACACACACACACACACACACACAAAGGTAGTAGCATCAGGATTTTGAGATGCTTTGTCGGTGGCCAACTCTGGGGGGGGGATGAAGTAGCCCCCCCCCCACCCATCTACTCCACAGATCATTCTTTCCCCCCTCCCATGGCATGTGCATCTGGCGTGGACCCAGGAGGGGGCATTGCCCCATCTTAGAAGTGACCCCAATTCCCATCTGAGCCCCTCCCTGGCCTAAGGATGCCCTTTGTGGGCAGATCTGAACTCGGGACCTGGAGACCTGGGTAGCCCAACCCAGTTTAAAGAGAATCAGCTAAGCTGGGAAGGGGGGGGGAGGGCAGGTTAGAAGAACAGAGCATCAGGCTCCTCTAGATGGCCTTAAGCCTCCCTGGGGGAAGCCTCTGAGACCCCCAAGCGGTGGGGGATAACAGTGTGGGAAGGGACCTTGGAGGTCTTCTAGTCCAGCCCTCTGCTCAGGCAGGAAAAACCAAAATACTATTTCAGAGAAACAAACAGTTGTCCAATCTCTTCTTAAAAACCTTCAGTGAGGAGGGAGGGAGGGAGGGAGGGACAGAGAGAAGCAAGGAAGGAAGGAAGGAAGGAAGGAAGGAAGGAAGGAAGGAAGGAAGGAAGGAAAAAGAAAGAAGGAAAGAGAGAGAGAAAGAAAGAAAGAGTGGGAAGGGACCTTGGAGGTCTTCTAGTCCAGCCCTCTGCTCAAGCAGGAGAAACGATACCATTTCAGAGAAAAGTTGTCCAATCTCTTCTTAAAAGCCTCCAGAGATGAGGGAGGGAGGGATGGACGGACAGAGGGAGAAAGAGAAGGAAGGAAGGAAGGAAGGAAGGAAGGAAGGAGAAAGAAAGAGAGAGAGAAGAAAGAAAGAGAAAGAAAGAAAGAAAGAAAGAAAGAAAGAAAGAAAGAAAGAAAGAAAGAAAGAAAGAAAGAAAGAAAGAAAGAAAGAGTGGGAAGGGACCTTGGAGGTCTTTTAGTCCAGCCCTCTGCTCAGGCAGGAGAAACGGTGAAAGAGAAAGAAAGAAAGAAAGAAAGAAAGAAAGAGTGGGAAGGGACCTTGGAGGTCTTCTAGTCCAGCCCTCTGCTCAGGCAGGAAAAACGACACCGTTTCAGAGAAAGTCGTCCAATCTCTTCTCAAAAGCCTCCAGTGTTGGAGCACCCACAACTTCTGCGGGGGGGGGCAAGTCCTTCAGAAAGGGAAGAGGGAGAAAGGGGGGCCCGGGGGGGGGTTCCTCACTGCCTGCCCCACCGCTCCCTCTCTGGCGGGGGGGGGAGACTCTACTCTGAGCTATGAAGCTGCAGCCCTTACAGTGAATGCCCCCCCCTCCCCAGGCTTTCCCCCCCCCTCCCCACTCGGGGGACTCACTCCGCTCCAGGAAGCTGCGCACGGTGTTGCCTTCCAGCCGGGGGGGGTCTTTGGTGACCCCGTCGGCGTCGGCCACAGTGTTGTAGAGGTCCACCATGTACTGGGGGGGCTCCTTGAAGTAGAGGGGGGGCTGCGGGGGCTCCTCGATGCCGAAGACCTCCAGCAGCTGCTTCAGCGCCTGGTCCCGGGTCTCCTCCGAGCCCCAGGTGGGCTTGGCGGGCCGGGCAGGTGCCCAGGTGAGCAGCAGCAGCGGCGGCAGGAGGAGCAGCAGCCTCGTCATCTCGGCTTCCGGAGGGTTCCTCAAGAGGACTAGCTCCTCGGGGCTGGCCCGGGCCTCCTTTATACCCCCCCCCAGCAGAAGGGGCAGAGGCTGATGGGCCATTAGGGAATGAATGGGCCCGCTAACAAGGTGCCAAGCTGCCCATCAGCCCAGTCCACACCTGGGAGGGCTGTGGATTCCTCGGGAGGAGAGAAGATCCCCCCTCCGGAAGGGGGGGCTGCGTGTTTGCGGTTGGGCCTTGGCAGGAAGGGGTGGGGAGACTCTCCCCCCCCCTCCACAGACCCCTCCGAAGTTTATTGAGGGCCCAAGGCTGCCAGCCAGATGTGCCGGCTCTCCCCAGGGGGCTAACGGGCATCTAATGGGGAGCGGCGGGGGGCCATTTGCAGACAGGAATTAGAGGCTTCGGGGGGGGGGGGGCCAAGGGGGGGGGAAGGGACAGCAAGGGGGAATCCCTCCGTGGGGCAGCGCCCTTCACCCTAAATGGTGGCCCTCCTGGCTGGGAAGACAGCTCTCCCCTCTCCCCTGGGACCCCGGAGGTGAGCAGCCCCCCTTGGCCCTGGCCCCCCCTCAGCCCAAGAGGGGTGGGGTGCTGGAGCCATGAGAGACATGGGGAGGGGGCTGCAGCTGAGCCCCTTGGAGGCCAAACAGTGTCCTTTCCCTGTGCCGAGGGCCTTTCTAAAAAGCACGGCATGATTCTAGTCCTCGTGCATTTCCCTGGCTCAAACTGCCCTTCTCCTGCACCACTGAGCCCCTGGACCCCTTGAGCCCCACGTTTTACAGGAAGTGGGGCAGCTCCCTGCTCCGTGTAGACCAGGGATATGCAACCTTGGCTCTTTTATGACTCGTGGACTTCAATTCCCAGAATTCCTGAGCCAGCCATGCTGGCTCAGGAATTCTGGGAGTTGAAGTCCACGAGGCATAAAAGAGCCAAGGTTGCCTACCCCTGGTGTAGACCTTCAGAGAACACCTGCTTCCCCCCCACACACACACATACACAGCCAGCCCCCAATTGCTTCTCTCCCTTTTCTGGTCCGTTTCAGCAAAGACGGAGCCCAGACAGATGACCTCTGGGGTCTCCAGGTGTGCGCGCGGCTTTCGCACCTCTCACCATGCACCCAGCTGAGTGGGCACCCTTGTGAATGCCACACCGGAGCCCGTTTGAAGGGAAGCGTCTACTCCAGCCCCATCAATCCACCAATGTCATTAGTGGGACCCAGAAAGGGGGTCTTCTCCATCATTGCCCCACCCTCACCAGCCCCCCCCCCAAGATTCATATGCTCCCCCCCTCCCAGTTGGCTTTACTTCTGAAAAATCCTTACAGCTGATTTTTCTCCCCCCCCTATGGGATCCTCAGCAGCACTCAAGAGTAGAGCTGAAAGGGACCTCGGAGGTCTTCTAGTCCAACCCACCGGTCAAGCTGGGGACCCTACCATTTCAGACAGGCGTCTGTCCAGTCTCTTCTTCCAAGCCTCCAGTGTTGCAGCACTCACAACTTCTGGTGGCAAGCGGTTCCACTGGTTAATTGTCCTCCCTGTTAGGAAGTTTCTCCTTAATTCCAGGTTGTTTCTCTCCTTGATCAGTTTCCAACCATTGTTTCCTGTCTTGCCTTCTGGTGCTTTGGAGAATAAATTGACCCCCCTCCTCTTCTTTGGGGCAGCCCCTCAAATACTGGAAGACAGCTATCATGTCCCCCCTGGTCCTCCTTTTCTCTAGATTGGCCATACCCAAGTCCCACAACTGTTCTTCATATGTTTTAGTCTCCAGGCCTTGGATCATCTTAGTTGCTCTTCTCTGAATTTTTTTTCCAAACTCTCAACATCTTTTTTGTGATACGGTGACCAAAACTGGATGCAGGTGTTCCAGGTGTGGCCTGACTAGGGTTTTATAAAACGGTACTAAGACTTCACGTGATTTTGATTCTATGCCTCTGTTTATGAAACCCAGGATTGTGTTGGCTTTTTTGGCCGCTGGCACACACAGCTGGCTCTAATTGTGGGTCTACACCAAGTTCACCAATTAGGGTTTTTTTTTACAGATGTTCCTTTTACAAATCTGCCATTAACAGGGTGGGCGACCCAGGCTGCTTCTGAAACGGGGAGAGCCTTATAAATAGGATAAATTGCAGTCTGTCTCCACATTTCGCCGGCCGTCCTTCCTGCCAGCCGTCCTCAACCCAAACCGTGCCCAGCTCCCGGAAGGACAGGGTGGAGTTTCTGCCCAGGGTTGCTGCCCCCCCCCACACACCTGCATGGCTTCTCCAAGGCTGGGGCTCAAGTTCCCAGACTTCCTCCACCACCCCCACCCAGAAGACACTCGGCCCTGCACAAAAGGTTAATAATCATAATAATTACACGCCAGATATCGCAGTTGTAGAGAACCGAAGCGTACAGCTGATGGATATCGCTGTACCAGGAGATGCCAGAGTCGAAGAAAAAGAACTGGAAAAAATAACGAAATATCGCGACCTGGCCATCGAGACTGCGCGATTATGGATGAAATGTGTGAGAGTGACACCCATTGTCATCGGGGCACTGGGAACTATGTCCCAAAACTTTGCAAAATACATCAAGAAACTGCAGCTTCCTGCAATAACTCCAGCAATGTTACAAAAAACTGCACTACTCGGAACATCTTGTATTTTAAGGAGGTACCTGGTTGACACCTAGGATGCTGGCAGCAACCCGTGTCAACCATCAGCGCCAGCCAATTTGAATGTTCAGTTGACTAAGGTTCATGTTTAATGAATAAAAGATTATTATTATTATTATTATTATTATTATTATTATTATTAATAATAATAATAATAAAAATAAACAATTGCAAAAGGCGGCCTTACTAGGAGCTGCTTCCATCCTGCGACGAGATCTGTAATACCATCAAACATCCACATCTGCCTATCCCAGGTCCTTGGTAAGGACTCGATAAGTAGACAAAATGCCAAATCCAGTCTGAACATCTGGCTGACTGTGCGATGATCCATAATAATAATAATAATAATAATAATAATAATAATAATAATAATAATAATAATAATCCACATCTGCCTATCCCAGGTCCTGGGTAAGGACTCGATAGGTAGACAAAATGCCAAATCCAGTCTGAACATCTGGCTGACCGTGCGATGATCCATAATAATAAAAAAGTTGGAAGGGACCTTAGAGATCATCTAGTCCAACCCCCTGCTCAGGCAGGAAGCCATATATACCATCTCAGACAAATGGCTGTCCTTATTGACCAACTCCATTTCCCTCTTTTCAAGCTTTCCGGGCGTTGGGATCTGCCAACCGATCAGGAAGGGAGATTTTATTTTAGGAAAATTATTCCATCCTCCCCCCCCCCGTGCTGAGCTCTGGTGTCCAGTTGGGCCAGAGAAGAGAGCCTGGCAGTCTGTCAAGGAAGACCCCATCCTCAAAAAGGGGGGGGCAGGAAAGAGCCAGCTCTGCCCAGTGACCCTCTTTTGCAAGACCCCCACCCCAGGAGGGGTTGTCTGGGTGATGGAGGGAGAGCCCCCTGCCCAAACAGACTTCCAAAGGGAGGGTGCCGTGTTCAGGGGGTGCCCAAATCTCCTGGCAGGCCTGTGGCTATCCAGGTGCCCCCCCACCCCACCCCTCCAGGCTTCATTCTGGAAAGGTGTTGATGGGCCTTGATGCTATGTTTCTGGGGGACCCCAAAAGCTGGCTTGGGGACCCCCGAGAGACCCCTCCAGGGGACGGGTGAACTTGTGAGGCTGCTCCACTATTTTTAATGTCCCTTCCTCTATTATTCTTGGCTTCCATTTGGTTTTTGTCCTGTTTTAATGGATTTATGAACTTTTTTTTTAGCCCTGTTGTGTGCCTTACAAGCAAAAGTCGCTTATGCGAGAGACAGACAGCTGTGTACATTGAATAGAACAGAGCTGGCAAGGGAACCTTGGAGGTCTTCTAGTCCAGCCCCCTGCTCAAGCAGGGGAACCTATACCATAACATCGGTTTAATAAGAAATAAGAGGAAGGGGGTGTCTGGAGGCTGACCGTTTTAATTTTGCCGCAGGAGGGAATCCCCGGTCTGACTTTCGGCCCAAACGTTTTTAAAAGCTCAGCCTCCCCAAAAGCAAAGCGACCCCAAATCAGGCAATGTATATATGAGGCGGGTGGGGGGGGCTTTGAGTGTAACATTCTGCCCCCCTCAATGAGAACTAGCCCCATTTGGACCCCCGTGCCAATGCAGTCATCAGCCGTGGACGAAACCTGGAGAAACAGGTTGTGTGTGAATAGAGAGCGAGATCTGGGACAGTCGCACTCCGGAACCGGGGGGGGGGAGCCAGCCTGCCCCAGCCTCGGTCCTTGCAGCCCCCCCCAGGAGAAAAACACAGCCTGATTGGACTTCCAAGCCGAATCCCTCGGGAGCCTCCGATGGGTTCTGTGGTTGTGTCCCATAGGATCAACTTTATTTGCACACCGGGTCCCTCTTCCTGGGGGGGGGCGCTCTTGGAGGGGGGGTCAGGCCACGGCAGCTCCCTTCATCTCCTTTCCCTCTGGAGGGGGGGGAGCACGGCGGCTCCACATCGGCATGTCCGGATGGCAAAGATGGTGCTCAGCTGCCCCGTCCGGCTGCGAAAGGTCTTCGTCTCGTAGTGGTCAGGGACGCAGAGGCTGGCAGGGGCCCTCGCCCGCCCACGGCCAGTGGCCCCGGGGACCCTGCAGCAGGAGGACACGAGGGAGCAGTCAGCCAGGACAGGGAAGGGCAGGGCAGGGCAGGGCAGGGCAGGGCAGGGCAGGGCAGGGCAGGAAGGAAGGAAGGAAGGAAGGAAGGAAGGAAGGAAGGAAGGAAGGAAGGAAGGAAGGAAGGGTAGGGAAGAACGAAGGAAGGAAGAGGGAAGGAAGGAAGGAAGGTTACTTCAATTCTTTTATGGATGGATGGATGGATGGATGGATGGATGGATGGATGGAAGGAAGGGTAGGGAAGAATGAATGAATGAATGAATGAATGAATGAATGAAGGAAGGAAGGAAGGAAGGAAGGAAGGAAGGAAGAGGGAAGGAGGGAAGGAAGGAAG